TTAAGAGTTACTTTGACGGTTAAATTATCTATGTTCAGTGGGTTATTGATGTTATTTCGATGTACTGTACCTCATTTTCAAACTGTCCATCGCTAGCTGCTGCAACATCAAAATCCACACTTGCTTGTGTGCTATCGTGAGACGTGTTACTCTCAAAGTCAGTTTGTTGAACCATTGTAGCAAAGATGAAAAAGGAAGGCGTTCTTTCTTCTCAAAAAGGCAACGAACAGGCCAACAGTGTACCTATCCGGTTTTCAATTGTTCTGGAAATTACACGGCTTTCGACGGTTGCGATATAATTTAAGTGGGTTTCTGAATCGAAAAGACACAAAACTGAACGTGAGCCAATCGAAATCGTGTACATGACAATAGGTTCACATCAACAACGGTGACGAATTGTTTGGACCTCCCTGGAGAAAATAAGCTGGTATTGTACTTTCCTAATCGAATTTTTAACGCACCAGATACATCAGGGTGAAGGTGTTTTCAAAGCTTAAACAAAGAGAACAAAGAGCTACGCAAATGCATTACTCAATGAGGACTGTTGTGAGTGTTATTTCACAACAGTCACGTTTCTTCCACATTTTTCAAGAACTACTAATGGAATTTTTGCCCGGGGGGAGGGGGTACTGCCAAAAACATCGGGTGGGGGTGTGCGGCCCGCTTCCCAAAAGCCTTACCCTTTTCAAGACCAAAATCTGCAATTTTCCCTACCCGAATTATGACCTGACAGAAAAACTGGATTCCCTATTTATGACCGTTACGGCTGCACTGTTGCCTTAAACATAGTTTATGATGGGCTTTTGATGGTGTTATCGATGAAGATGAAAAAGTAGCTTTTTCCATAAAGCATACCCAGTTCAAGACTAGAGTTCATAAACCACACCCTATTTATAACCAAAATGGCCAAAATCGATGCCCTATTTATAGACAACAAAAACATACAACAAAGAACTTTGCCAGGTTTCGTAATCATTTCCTGTCATTAACTATGGCTAGAACTGACTGAGCCCATTTTTGATCTTGACAATTTTTATGAGATATTTTTGTTGTAACTTAACTGAGTTGAGTTCAACTCGTGGTTCCAAAATGGCAAAAATCTCACACGCTCCTGTCTCATAAAAAATAGGTACAGTTTATTGCAGATTTCTTTTGAGTGGAAAAGTTTGTAGTAAAAATAAATCCCGAGAAAACAAAGACTCAGTTGAGGGAAAGTAGGAAAAAATAAAGACACTGGTCAACACCTGCCTTAACAGGGTTCCCTGATTGTCATTTCCTACCAAATGACAAATAAAAAAATTAATGAACAGTACTTCTTAAGCTATGTGTGGTATTCAAAAATGGATGCAACTGGGCGTGGGTTCTCTTGGCTTATTCCCTTAGCGTAAAAGATAATAAAAATATACTTTATGTCTCATTGTAAACAAAATGAACCCATTTCTACGACCAATTAAGAGCTAAGAAGGCGGGTTTAATCACAGTAGGGTAAGGCCGTAGTCGTGCCTAAAAATTACAGTACACGAGGATTACAGAAAGACGTGTTCGGTAGCGATCATTTCAGACTACAAACAGGAAGCTATCGATCAGTTCTTACTTGTCGGACGAGGATGAAGATCTTATCTTTGGTGGCGCTGTTGTTGGGTCTCTTTGCCTCAGGATCTGAAGCTCGCCCAGGTTACACGGAACATCAAAACGATCAAGAGCACGCCGCTTATCATTGGAGCCACCGCCTAACTATTGACGATCATGCTCGGGTAATAAATAAGCGTTTCGCTGTTACTTCCAATCCGTCCGTGTAAATCCGTCTGTGTAAAAATAAGTTAAGTAAATTTTTCATGCAGCTGTTGAAGCGAGAGAAGCTTTTGGAGAAGGACGTACACCAGTGTCGGTTGAGTGAACAACAAGCAGAATATTTTACATCTTATTTGCCAGCCGACATACTCGGCCTACTCAAAATTAATCTGGTCACCAACCCTTCTTACTTTTTTTTCTAATAGTATCCTTTCAGGTTGACTTTCTTTAGTTTCTCTACGTGATAAACTTTCTTCTCAACTCGTTTGCTTATACGATTTTTAATTAACAGTTATTTGCTGAAGGTGAAGTGAACATCATGTACTTCATCCCTGGTCCCGAGGGAAATAGTTTTGTTTTCTCTAGAATCTCGATGTTTTCCTCGACTTCGTTTCGGTACACATCGGGATTCTCGGAAAAGCAAAACTAACTGTTTCTTAAGGAGACCAATGATTAAGTGTTTAGTTATGTAGGTGGAGTTCATTGTAAAGTTATAAGTATAGGAGAAGTCAACTAAACATATGATTAGTGGGATAGCGGATGACAATTGCTCAATAAGACAATTTTGACATATTAAAATTCTAACTGGATTCGGAGGCCTGTGGGAATAAATCAAAAGAAACTACATGGAGGATGACGGACGATTAATTCGTTTGTTTTGTTTTATTCCCCTAACCTTCGGAGCCAGGACAACATTCAGATTCAGCCATTGCCACCTGGCCATAAATCAACTAATGTGACGATATAAGCACCTAAGCGAAACCCAAGCGAAACAGTGAGTTCTGTTTCCCATCGACCTCAATGTTTCCCTCAGCTTCGCCTCGAGGAACATTGAGGTCGAGGGGAAACGGAACTCACTGTTCCCCATGGTACGAGTCATTAAATGTTATGTCATACCTCCGAACTCAAAAATAGAAAAAAAAAATGCGAAAGAATTATTTGCTTGGCGCCAGCTGGCCCACAGATTTGCCGCGGTTTTAAGTGCACGACCTGATCACGTGCGACTCGAAAGTTCAAGTTGCAGTTTCCCTAGGGAGCTAGTGGGTTTCGACCCACGACACGTGACACTTTCTCCTCTAATGGAAAAACGTACTTGAATTTGGAGTTATAACAATGGTAAATATTCACCAATGGTCGTTCACTGAGTTGTTTACTTCAATTACGTATTCATTTAATTTGAAGAGCTGAAGTTATATGTCAATACCTATGTTTGTCGTTTCCTTGGCACTTGTTTCATAGAAATAAAACATGAATCTACACCAAGAATGAAATATGTAATCCCGAGGTTATAATTTGGCACTTTTTATTTGTATAGTGGGGGGAAGGGGAGAATCTCTAAGGGGAGAATCTTCGGGTAAACTGGTAAGTGACAGAACTTTAAAAGATATAAGTAGAATTCATAAATTCATTTTAAGAGGTGTGATAACAGCATCGTATTGTTTTTAAACAATAGTCACCTAATTTACACATTTTTACTTTGTATTTGTTCTTCTTCTTATTTTTATCTCGCCTTTCTTGCATATATTTTATCATTCTGCATCCATTTTTATCCGTCAAAGGCCGTAGATTGACAGCTGAAAGCTCATGTTCTATTTGAAATTTTTTGTCCAGCGAACGTTTTTATCGTAATCTTGAGCTTTAAATTGATTAAAATTACTTTCCAGGCACGTCACAAGCGGGTTTTTGGAATGATCCTGGCTGCATTTACAGCTTTCAAATACATCGCTGACTTTATGGGAAGAGCCAACGATGTGATGGGATGGTTTGACAGCATCAACCGCTTCATGGGCTCTCAGTCGGAGGAACAAAGGCGCAAGACGAAATCATCCCCAAAGCCCTTGACGAATTGGAACAGCAAAGAGATGGTCTAGCTGATGATGTTAAAAGTAAGCAGTGTTTTTTATCAAAGATGTCCATCACCAATCTTTATGCCATAGACAAATTTGTTAGATAAACACTAGTGTTTTACTAGAAAATGCAGCACTCCGTCGTAAACATTAATTTGAGGCCTAATTAGGGACCCGAGTGGCGTATTTTCCATATTCATAGTTAGTGCCTCTTTTGTTTATCAGAATATCAATTTTCCTGCTCAGGTTGAATATTCTTGTTTCTCTGCTGATTTTAGGCTGATACATACGTGTTTTAAAAAGGAAAGAGTGTATGTCCTTCCCTGCCTTTTTACAGTTGCTGTACAAACAGTCCGTTAGTCTATGTGATATGATTAAAAATTTAACGTTGGTTTGAAGACAAGAATTTTATTATCTTGTGTTAAAATAGTTTAAAATATTGTTTTTACCACTCGACAATAAAAATCATCTGATGTAATATCCCTGTACTGTATATGCCAGGATGAAACATAACCGAACGTCCTAAAGTTAGAAACATTCACAACCATACGAGTTCCCTCCGACTGTCCAAAACATAGTCGTTAGAAGGGCAAAGAGTAACGCTACAGAAGTGGTTTACACCGATGAAAAGGAAGTCGCCTGTAAAGGGGAAAATAATTTGGAAAGACGTTCAAACGTGCTTTTTTATTTTTTATTTTTTTATAACTTCGTGACCTTTTTCCTGAGCAGATGGTTTCCAGGAATTCCTGGCTGGATCAGAATACACCCAAATACTCACTGTTATCTCCAGTGAGATTGGTGTTCTACGAATAATCGATAATCTGCAAAAGGAATATTTTGAAGCCACCAAATACTACAAAGCAAACCCTAGTGAAGCCCTGATGGAACAGAGAAGACAAAAATGGTTTGAGGACGTAAGTCTTAGTAGATCTTACTCTCGAAACTGCACGGGCGTGTTCCAATGATTGCAAACCGTAATATTGAACAGATGTGTTCTGAAACGTTTTACCGACTCTCTCGACGTTTTACCAACTTTGCTTCTTTCGCATCTCATAGCCTCTCACTAAAGAGAAGGACCAGATTTAACGAGCTGTCGGCCCTGCACACCCTTTGACTTACTTGAATCCGTCTATTAATGCGTTTTGAAACGCTGTAAGGTTTCTGTGATGGTATGTTTTCACCGAAAAACACTCTCCCTCCGCAAAATATTTTCTATCTTACACACTAAAACGCTATTTATAATTTCTTTCTTGACAAAATATGGATTTAAATTATGAAACGTAGAACTTATTTTGGTATCATTTCACTTCTCCTGTGAAAAATTTTATGCTCTTTCTATCAGTAGATTGATGAGAGGTTTGCCGATGTGAAAGGTGCTCTCATTCTTCTTCCTGAAAACATCTACGATCCCATCCTGAACAGCCATGATTTGTTTGAGGGTTATGCATGGAAGAAAGGAGAACAAGGAACAGGCACCTTGGTCGACCTGATGAATTTTATCGCAAATATCTGAGCGCTAAAAGCAAATGGCTATACC